CTGCCTTTTTAACATTTCCATGCAAAAGTCTGATATGCAACTCAGCCATAATTTATCCACGAAGAACTAGAATTTTCCTGCCAAACTTGCTCCTTCCTCAGTCTTCCTACTTTTAGTCATTAGCATGAGCATCCACCCATTTGTTCAACCTATGAATCTAGGATTCAGTCTTGAGTCCTCTCTTTCCTTATCTTCCATATTTAATCTGTCAGCCAGTCTTGTCCACTTTATCTACAAAGCATATTCCAAAAAGTTCATCCACTTCTCTCCATTTTCATTACGATCACCCTAACCCAAATCCATGCTGCCTGAATGACAGCAATGCTCTCAGCTCATCCCTCTGTAATCATCCTGAAATCAGTCTATTCTTGGAAGGGCAGCTTGAATGATCTCACCCTCTTGATTAAAACCCTCCAGTAGCTTCCTATTGTACTGGAAATAAAATCCAAATTCCTCAAAGCAGGATATATTATGGCTTCCGCCCACCTCTTCAAACTCATTTTCAATCATGTTCTTCCTCACTCTCACTACTCCAGCCACACTGGTCTTTCTTTCCCTTGGAAACACAAAGTCTGTTTCTAACTTAGGACCTTTCCCCTGGCTGACCTTTCCTGGAATGATCATCCCAATGGTCCTTGAATGACTGACTCCTTTTTATCACTCACATCTCACCTGAAATGTCAGTTCTCAGAGACACCCTTCCTGACCACAAAGCTGAAGCAGCCACCCAGGTACTCCCTATCACATCACCTTTTACTGTCTGGGTGTTGGACTCTCCTCCTCTGGAAGACAGGAGTTAGGACCTTGTCTTTCTTCTTCACCACTACATCAGCAGGATTTAGAAGAGTGCTTGACATACCTTGTTGAAAGAGTGAATGAATGTGTAAATGAGTTAGGACGGGAACCTAGGTCTGCAATCTCCTGGTTCGGTGTTCTTTGCCTGGACCAGGGAAAGTTGCTGCTTCACACCTTTTTTTATTTTTCATTTTTTTTAATAAGCTCTAGTCCCAATGTGGGGCTTGAACTCACAGCCCCAAGATCAAGAGTCACATGTTCTACTGACTGAGTCAGCCAGGGCCCCTCAGCTTTAACAACTTGATTGTTTTCTTGCTGTTCACCAGATGCTTGGCACCATTCAATTGTCAACAGCTTCCAGTTCTTAGCAAGAAAGGAAATGGCTATAAGGGAACAGGAAGGAGAGGAAAGAGGGCATCTGAATAAATCATGAAGTATGTAATCATCCCCACAAAGAATGGGAATGGAACGTTCTATTATTCAATCAACCATTCAATATTTAGTAAACATTTACTATGTATCTGGTGTTACACAATTTACTAGGGATAGAAACCCAAACCTACTCTGTAGGATCTGGCCGTCTCCGGCAGGACATGATAGGCCTGCAGTGATGCCTGCCTACCACGCTGTGGTACCCTGAGGACAAGCACCTACTTGCAGAGAGTGAGATTGGCCGAACAGAGTGGGCAGGAAGACATCCCAGAGAGTGAAACTCGTGAGCGGAGTCTCAAAGCGTGAATATGTGTTAGTGGAAATCTTAGTCTGAGGCTTCACATGAAAAGTACAGTTGTATATTCCCTTGAATTGACAAAAAAAAAATTACTTTAAAAGGGCAGGCAGGATGACCCCGGTATTTGAGAGAAACCCTTATTAATGACATTTTCACCAATGAAACACTTAACAAAAAATGGAATCGTTTTCTATTTCTTTTTTTTAAAAGGATTTTATTTATTTATTCATGAGAGACATAGAGAGACAGAGGCAGAGACACAGGCAGAGGGAGAAGCAGGCTCCACGCAGGGAGCCTGATGTGGGACTTGATCCTGGGACTCCAGGATCACGCCCTGAGCCTAAGGGAGATGCTCGACCGCTGAGCCACCCGGGGATCCCTCGTTTTCTATTTCTCGCTACAAAGAGTCCAAAACCAATTCATCTTCCCTGAGGATCTTATAGTGAAACCCTTGAAGCAATCGCTGTATGATAAAAGATCACCCAACCAAAGAAGAACCACTTCCCTGTAAAACCACAGGCAGTGTCCTTGAAGAAATATGCTGTCAGGTAAAAGCAACATTGGCAGCAGGTAAAAGAATGAAGTAGATCTCTGTGTATTGATAGACAAAGAGATATTTTAGTACGTGAAAACAAGCAAGTTTCAAGATACTGGATATTGTGGCTCCTATTATTATGTTAGGATCTGTGTAGGGGGATCTCTGGGTGGCGCAGCAGTTTGGCCTGCCTTTGGCCCAGAGCGCGATCCTGGAGACCCGGGATCGAATCCCACGTCGGGCTCCCGGTGCATGGAGCCTGCTTCTCCCTCTGCCTGTGTCTCTGCCTCTCTCTCTCTCTCTGTATGACTATCATAAGTAAAAAAAAAAAAAAAAAAAAAAAAAAAAAGGATCTGTGTAGGAATTCCAAGAAGAATAAATGCAAACATAACAATGGTCATCTCCAAGGTGTGGGATTATGAGGCACTTCCCGTTTTTGAGTCCTACATTTTGGTACTATTTTAACAGTTTATGATAAATGTGTACTATTTTGGAATTTAAAAATAAAGGTTCCTTTAGACCATAGGTCTGATTTGTTTTATGAAACTCGTGCTCGGCTCTACATTCCAGAAACATGCAGAGAGGATTTCCCTAAATTATATCATTTGCCAACATTTACAGGAAAAAATAAGCTGAGACTCAGAAAGATAATGTGATTTTTCTTAAGCTGTGACTCCTAGACCAGTACAGTCAGCTCCACAGTTCTTGATTAAAGCTGAGGAATAGAAGATAAAATATATTGGGGCACTCGGGTGGCACAATCAGTTACCGGACAGACTATTGGTTTCGGCGCAAGTTCTGACCTTAGGGTTGTGAGATTGTGCCCTGCATTGGGCTCCACACTCTGTGCAGAGAGTTGGCTTGGGACTCTCTTTCCTTCTCCCCCTACCATTCCCCACCCTGCATTCTCTCTTTCCTTCAAATAAATAAATAAATCTTAAAGAAAAAAAGATAAAATATATCAATTTCCAACTTACACATTTGGAAACGTTAGCAACATTGCTTTGTAGAAAACCATGTAGCTATTTAAAGGAAAATATCCTTTTTATGAGGTTAAAAAGAGGTTTATTGTGTATTTCTTTAGTGACAGGCAATTCCTGGTGACAAATGTGATGCAGGTAAAGAAGACACAGAGATTTGCAGGCTAGGAGTTTCCCAGAAGAACAATTCAAATAAAGTCTCTAGTTCCTTCTGTAGATCTTAGAATACTCAGCAAAATCTTGTTTTCGTTCGTTTGTTTGTTTGTTTTTAAGTAGGCTCCACCGTCCAACATGGGGCCGGGATTCACAACCCCCAGATCAAGAGTCACATGCTCTACAGACTGAGCCAGCCACACGCCCCTCAGTAAATTTGAATAGATAGATCCCTTCCATCCAATTTATTTATTGAGTGCTTATGACGTGGTCTTGCACTGAGGGTAGAGCAATGAGTCGGTGAGACGAATTCTCTGCACTTGCGGAGCTTATACACTAGTGGGCAAACACAATTAGCAAAAAATACATAAAATCAGGGGTATAATTTCAGGTAAAGCTATAATAAATCAGGTAAAATGGTAGTGACAGGAGTACTGTTTTTCAAAGGTCAGGAAGACCTTTTAAAGGAAGTGACATTTGAGTAAGGACATGGAAGGAGGGAGGCAGAGGGCCAGCAGAGCTCTGAGGGCAAGCCTTAGAGGAGCCCGGCAAGTCAGGGCCCTGAACAAAATCAGAATTCCTCCTTTTCTTGAAAAGGTAAGGAACATCCCAGAGAATGAGCTCTCCTGGTCTGGCATGTCAAGGATTCACTTTTGTTCTTGCTGTTGCTTTTCATGTTTATAAGGCCTGGTGCTAGAAGTTTCTCTCTATTGCTTAGACATTGGAGAATGCATTTTATTTGGGAATAGAAGTCTACTACAAAGCACGTCTTATCCACGTCCTAAAAGCATCTGCCTTGGGGCGCCTGGGTGGCTCAGTTGGTTAAGCATCTGCTGGTTCCCCTCAGGTCATGGTCTCAGGGTCCTGGGGTCTAGCCCCATGTGGGGCTCCCTGCTCAGCAGTTGTCTGCTTCGCCCTCTGCCTCTGCCCCTCCCCCTGCTTGAGTCCACACACACACACACACACACACACACACACACACACACGCTCTTTCTCAAATAAATAAAATCTTTAAAAAACAAAAACCAAAAAATAAATAAATAAAATAAAAATAAAAAACCACCTCCTGCCTTATCATAAAGGCATAGAATCCAAGTCCTAAGATTCAATGCTGCTCATTCCACAGAGAGCAGCCCAACCTCTGTGGATTGAGCAGCTTAAACCCGCTCCCACCCTAGGCAGGAAGACGCTGCGGAGAAGGTGCTGCTGGGAAGGGCCTGAGGGTGCAGGAGAGGAGGTGCAGGAGATACCTTTGGCGTTCTCAGCTCTAGGCCCTAGCTCTTCCCTCACTAACTCCCCTGTAGGCCCAGGTCTGGCCGAGGCAGAGACAGTCTACCTCACAGTGAGGCGCCGAGGCCCAGAGAAGTGGGTGGCTTGTCCAGGATCACACAGAAAGCCATCTCTAGTTCTTAACCTTCACTCCTTTTGCCTGAGCCGCATTCCAGGCCGGGGACCACATGGGGTGGAAATTCATGCTCCATTTCAGGAAATGAGATTGTTGATCTTTCATTTACACAAAAATGAAAAATAAATACCAGATGCTTGAAAACATGTTGCAACTCATCTTCCTGGAACTTAAAAGTGCATTCTGACTGAGAAAATTAAATTGGAAAATCCACGCAGCAAAAAAGATGTTTTGAATGAAACGCACTTTGTCTTTCCCTCTATCTCACACACACAGTCTCTCATTGTTTCTTTTTCAGGGAGCAGCTGTGAAGGAAATTGGGGGAGGGAGGGAGATGGACAAAACATCCCATCTTTGTGTTTGGTACAGAGCTAAGCTTTTAGGCCAGCCTTCCTGAACTGGAGGGGGTGTGGCATGCATTAAAATTAAACATCAATGACCCCACGAAGCTTATAAAGAAGCTTGGGAAAAGCCAGTCAACAAAAGAAGGCATCCTCGTTTGGATGAGTTTGCATGTGGAAACTGCCTTCATCTTGACAAAAAAGGTGGGTACTAGGGTTTTCATTTTCATTTATGACGAATGATGCTTCAAATAGAGACAGGCTTGACTGTTCAGCTAAAAATAGTGACTAACACGGTGGAGGGTTCGTGCCAGCTGCTTTGCAATTTTGGTCTCATTTTTTTCTCAAACACCCTTACAGAGTAGACACTAGTAGTGCCTTTTTCAGTGATGACATTGACAGTCAGCTATCCCAAGCCATAAGTCTAAGGGAAGACCACCGCCAGACGCCAGGCCTGGGGTGCCAGCCCAATGTTGACTCACCTCAAAGTCTTCCGCTTGCCCTATGCAACCTCTTTTGTGCTACAGAAACAATAAGAAAAGGTTCCCTATGCCGATGCTGTGCTGGATGAAGTCTCAGGGAGTGGTCATCCAACTGGGAATTACAGTAAAAAGTAACTGAAAAGTGAACTGGAGTTCATCCTGTGAATAGAAAATGCGTTTAACAATATGACCCCAAAATATTTTCTTCAAAAGACATGTTTTCTTCTTTTTTTTAAATAATAAATTTATTTTTTATTGGTGTTCAATTTACCAACATACAGAATAACACCCAGTGCTCATCCCGTCAAGTGACATGTTTTCTTCTTAGATCCAATAGTGAAATGGGTTTTTATCAGACCCATTTACTTGTGGAAATGTGTTTTGTTTTATCACGTGAAATCTAAAAATCTAGTACTTAATGATCTGCTGCTCTTTGAAATCGAGTACTGTGTCCTCACTAAGATGCAGGTATTAAGAGAACAGGCTCCCAGGAGACCTGGCATAAGTTCTGGCTGCAGAGCTAGCAGGAAATAGCCTGGGCACGTTAACACCACTGAGTACAGAGAACGTCAATGTAGGATCCTTCCAGATATAGGGCATTGTGGCGATTCAGTGTGTGGCACATTTAAATACTGAGGCCAGGGCTTCTCCGTGGAGAAGTTCAATGAGCCTGAGTACTGGTTCAGAGAGTCAGTGCTGGCCCAAGGTGGATGCACCTTAACTTTAGTAGAATTATTATTAAATAACTTAATATTCAGTTAAAATAGCACCTAAATTATATTTATGTTTAAAATATGTAAACTCCCCTCATTAAGGCAATCTTGCCATTAGTATTAGAAGATGATGCAAAAATATAGGTCACACATACCCGAGTTCACAAGTGTACTTTAATAATGTCATTTACCTTTGATGTCGGATGGAGCTGAGGCCCCAGAGGGAGGGTTCTCGGCTTTGTATAGGAAAGCATTCAAGAGCAAGCCATTTAGAGATCTCCCCTCCCAGTTGAGGAAGAAGACACCACTTCGCCTCTAATAAAGGGTTTTATAAGTTTTTTTTTTTAATTAGCTAACCATATAAGGAGGGGCTTACTTGTTAACGTTGGCTTTATCATTTACTACGGGGGTGGGGGTGGGGGGTGGGGTTGGTTATTCCATTGTTTTAGGACCGTGAAATTACCCACAGGGAGCAATTTTAAGAATGTCTGACCTCTGTGGCTTTACTGCCCGAGAGAGTGGGGTCTCACGGTCTTCCGTGAGTCAGATCTTGTAATTCTTTTTATGACCTGCCGACCCTTAGGTTAAACAGCCTAAAACTGAAATGGCTTTACTTTGCTCACCTGGTCTCCCGAGTCCTTTCCCTCCTGCCTCACCTTCCGCAGATGCTCACTAAGTGTGGGGTGAACCGGCACAGAAGGGGCCTGGAAAAGAAATTAGGGATGCCATCAACCCTCTCTCTCACAAAAAGTTTTAACCATAGGAATGAAACTACTTCAATAAAGAGGCATCTTTGGAAGAGATGCGAGCAAGAATTAGCCTTGCTATGAAATCCTCCTACGGAGCTAAAGCACAGGTTTCAGCCCACAATAGAACATTTTCTAATAAGATATTTGTCAGAGGAAGACATGGAACTGACTTTTGCTGTAACTGTCACTGGTGAGATGAGACTCACCAGGTTACGGAGGGAGGTGTTTATCGAAAGCCACCAAAGGTGGGGTACAGAAGGAAGCATGGCTCACAGTCGCTGCAGGACGGACAGCTGGCGATGGCACCCGAGTCCCGGCTCTCTGCCTCTTCTGGTACTCAGCTGCCATCCGTACACCTGCGGGCTCGGGGTTTGGGTAAAGGACCCCTCAATCCCTGCCAGTTTGGGGAGTCCTGTAGAACGTACGTAATGTGTGACCATCCTCTGAGGTTGGATCTTCTGGGCAAGGCACTGAGCTTGGAGCCTACAGAAGGCAAAGAGTAAAGCTCCATGGTTCTAAGAATTCCTCAGAAATGTGTGAAGTTTTCTAAGTTCAGGCGAATCCATCATCTCCCATAAGGTTAAAGGACAGGTGTTGTGTATGTGGTGGTAGGAGCTGATGGGGAATGGACTCTCGGAAGGCAGGGTCCCACCATAGACTTGGCTTGCTCAAGGGAGGCTCAGCAACCACCCTGCCGCCCCCCATCCCCGCCCCCAGCTGGCAGCTTTGCTCATTATGTAACTGTTCCTTTGAAAACGGGGCAAAGAAACCTCCAGAAGAAAAGCTATTGATTATTAAAGGTTATTTGGAGGTTTAACCATAATAAAGTGGTTATAGTTATTCGTGTTATGACACATCCTTTTAAATGCTCAGATCTGAGAACATTTTGCTTGCATTGATTCAGTCCTCTTCATTGAGAGGGAGAAAGGCGGAGAGCTGGAAATAGCTCCTGTGCAGCTACAGGCAAGGAGTCCCAAGGGAGAGAACAGTCAGGGCAAGAGGCAGGGAGGGGTGCTTGGGCTGGAATGCCTGCCGCCAGCTCCTGGTCCTCCTCTAGTGGAATGCACATCTGTGTCCCCGTCTGTGCAGGGACTAAATAAATAAATAAATAATAAATAAATAAAATAAATGCATGTCTATGAAAAAATATCCCCAACAGAAGGCCAAAACGAAATTCAGGAAATAATTCGCTGTTTCCGCTTTTCATGGTAACATGTAACTAGCATTCCTGAAGCCCTTTGCCTGTGTGGGACACAGTCCTAAGTGCTCTCTCCATAGCATCTCATTTAATTCTTGTAAAACTTCGTGAGGTCGGAATGATCATCATTTGCAGTTAATAGACGGGAAACAGGAGCGTAAAGTGGACACGGTTCGGTTCTGCTGAGTGTGGGACAAAGCAGCCTCAGACCAGCTGGGGCCCGGGGGGGGGGGGGGGCGGTCCCCGCACTTGGCCTGTTGGGGCCTGGGTGGGGGGGCGGCCCCCTTGGGAGGCTCCTGAGGCCCCGCACATCGCGCACCTTCACCTCCACCGCCTCCCTGGCTCCGCGGACCCCGCTGGCCTCCGCCTGGCCCGCCGCGCCCCCCTGCACCTGCGCGTAACCCCGCAGGGTTCCAGGGCGCCCGCCCGAGCAGCGCAGGGCCGGAGGCAGCGGGGCCAGCAGGCCCAGGAGCTGCAGCCCAGCCGGCTCCCCGGGGTCGGAGGACGGGGGCCGGGGCGGGGGGGGGGGGGCGGCGCCCTGGGGATGGAGACCCGCGGCCCTGCGGAGGGTCCCCTGACCCAGGTCCCCCACAGCCAAGGATGCTGACGGCGCTGCTGCTGCTCCCCGCGCTGGCCGGCCTCTTCCCCGCCGCGGACGGACAGGCCTTCCACCTGGGGAGATGCCCGACGCCGCCGGTGCAGGAGAACTTCGATGTGCACAAGGTACGGCGGGCCGCGGGGCCGGGGCTCCGGCTCCGCTGCGGGTCCGCATCCCCCGGGACCTCCCCCCCGGGGCTCCGCTCCGCTCCCCTGCAGCTCCGCATCCTGCCGGGACCCCCCGACGGGAGCGCAGGGCTTGGGGCGGGCTCCCCGGGAGGCACCGTGCGCACCTGCGAAACAGCCAAGCCCGGGGCAGCACAGGTGCTGCGTCCCCTGCGGACCACAGGCCCCCCGCGGGCCACCGAGGATGTGCGCGGCGCCCCGGATTGGGCCCGGTGCCAGGGGAGCGGCCCTGGCTTCCCCGCGGGTCCTGCAAAGCCTCAGGCCGAGGTCGCGGTGCGGGCGGCGGGGGGGTGGGGGGCTGTCCCCGGAGGCCGAGGCAGGCGGGGGGGGGGGGGGGGCCGCTGGGGCTGCTCCCGCCTTCTGTGCCCCAAGCAGCTGAGCCTCGGAGAGCTCGCGACCCACCCAGGCCTCCCAGCCAGTGCATGCACAGTGGGACCCAGAACTGCCTTCCCCAGGTGCAGGACGCCCACGAATTGCTCACGCAGGTCCTGGAAGGGGCCAGGCCTCCCCCAAGACACTTACTAGGCACCTGCTCGGAAAACATGCGCATGACCAGACCCCGCACATGCGGTCCTTCCTGGGCTCAGGCCCAGCCTTGCTGCCAGTACATGCACAGGTACAGGGAACAGCAGAGTCAACCGGCCCAGGGGAAGCACTTCCACCGCTCAGGACTCACGCCCAGGGGCTCCCTCTTTTTTGGGGGGGCGTATTTTAAAGATCTTATTTATTTATTCATGAGAGACACAGAGAGAGAGAGGCAGAGACACAGGCAGAGGGAGAAGCAGGCTCCATGTGGGGAGCCCAATGCAAGACTCAATTCCGGACCCCGGGGTCACGCTTTGGGCCCAAGGCAGGCGCTCCACCCCTGAGCCCCCCAGGCACCCTTAGAATCTCCCTCTTAAGACATTTTCTCCTTCATAGAATGTTTGGATCTTTTGTAATGGGCAGGACTCGTCATGAGTAATATTAAAGTTATCAGTCACCCACTCCTCAGTGTGAATGAGTGTTGGGACCCTTCGGGGATGGATTAGATACAGGAGTGAGGGAGGACAGCTCAGAGCCTGAGGGCTGTGGGGAAGGAGCACTGTCAACAGTCACCCTGGGGAGGGAAGAAAGGAGACACACAGCACAGTCCACCTTGCCTTACTCTGGAACTATGATGGGCCCGTCCCTTTATTCAGGTAATCCTGCTAAGGCACGGAGTCTTTCCCGAAAAAAATCGGGAACTTGAATTATATTTCAATGTGGGGGTAAAAATCCCAAGACACTTCAAAAATGATAATTGATCTATATTTACAAAAGTCCTCTGAGGAGTAAGGCAGGATGTCTAAAAAAAAAGTTTTATTGGAATATAAGCCATATAGTTCACCTGCTCAACGTTCACTTTCATTGGGTTTTTTGTATAATCGCAGAGTTATGAAACCATCACCACAATCTATTTTGTTTTATTTTATTTTTAAAGATTTTATTTATTTATTCATGAGACAAAGAGAGAGAGAGAGAGGCAGAGACACAGGCAGAGGGAGAAGCAGGCTCCCTGCAGGGAGCCCGATGCTGCGGGACTTAATCCCAGGACCAAGATCAGGCCCTGAGCTGAAGGCAGGCGCTCAACTGCTGAGCCACCCAGGTGCCCCAAGCTCTGAGAGTTCTTTATATGTTTTGGACACAAGTCTCTTCAGAAACATGATCTGCAAATATTTCCCCCCAGGAATTGTCTTTTCACTTTATTGTCTTTTCACTTTATTGACAGCATAAAGGTTTTTAACAGTAATGAGATCCAATTTATCTTTCTTTTTGTTGCTTGTGCTTTTGATATCTAGAAAATCATTGCCTGGGTACCTGGGTGGCTCAGTCAGTTAGCGTTTGCCTTTGGCTCAGGTCATGATCCCAGAGTCCTGGGATCAAATCCTGAGTCAGGCCCCTTGTTCAGTGGAGAGTATGCTCTCCCCCTACCCATTCACCCTCATGATCTCACTCTCTCTCACACACTCTCTCAAATAATATTTAAAAATCTTTAAAAATTAAATAAAAATAAATAAATCATTGCCTAATGCAAGGTTACGAAGATTTATTTCCATATTTTCTTATAAGAGATTTATAGTTTTAAAGTTTGTCATCAATTTTAAGTTAAACTTTGTATATAATGTGATATAGAAGTCCAACTTTACTATTTTGCTAATAAATATTCAATTGTCCCAGAGCTATTTGTTGAGAAGACTGTTCTTTCCCCAACCAAATAGTCTTGGCATCCTTGCTGAAAATCAATTGGCCATATATGTAAGAGTTTATTTTGGACTCTCAATTCTATTCTGTTGTTCTATATGTCTGTCCTTATGCCAGCCCTATATAGTATTGATTACAATAGCTTTAAATTTTTTTAATTTATTTATGATAGTTACACACACACACAGAGAGAGAGAGAGAGTCAGAGACACAGGCAGAGGGAGAAGCAGGCTCCATGCACCGGGAGCCCGACGTGGGATTCGATCCTGGGTCTCCAGGATCGCGCCCTGGGCCAAAGGCAGGCGCCAAACCGCTGCGCCACCCAGGGATCCCGATTACAATAGCTTTAGAGTGAGTTTTGAAATTAGAAAATATGAGGCCTTCAACTTTGTCCTGGCTATTCGGGGTCCTTTGCGTTTCCATATGGGTTTTAGGATCCATTTGTCAATTTCTACAATGAAGCAGAGTTGGGTTTTTGTTGTTGTTGTTGTTTTATTTTTTATTTATTTTTGTTGTTGTTGTTTTAAATAAAGACTTCACTGAATCTAGATCAATCTGGAGAATATTGTCATCTTAAGAATTTTAAGACTTGGGGATCCCTGGGTGGCTCAGCGGTTTGGTGCATGTCTTTGACCCAGGGCACAATCCTGGAGTCCCAGGATCGAGTCCCACGTCGGGCTCCTGGCATGGAGCCCGCTTCTCCCTCCTCCTGTGTCTCGGCCTCTCTCTCTCTCTCTCTACGTCTATCATAAATAAAATAAATAAATCTTAAAAAAAAAGAATTTTAAGGCTTCCAATTCATGAACATAGGTTATCTTTCCATTTACTTAGGTCTTCTTTAATTTCTTTCAACAACGTTTTGTACTTTCCAGAGTATAAGTTCTGTTGTTTCTTTGGTTCGGTTTATTCATAAGTATTTTATTCTTTTGATGCTATTGTCAATTGAATTTTCATAATTTAATTTACAGAGTTTTCACTGTAAGTGTAGAAACTCATTTGATTTCTGTATATTGATCTTGTATCCCTTAACCTTGCTGATTTTATTTATTAGTTCTAATAGTTTTTGTGTGTGTAGATTCCTTAGGATTTTCTTTTTTTTTATTTATTTTTTTTTATTTTTTTCTGATAGTCACAGAGAGAGACAGAGAGGCAGAGACACAGGCAGAGGGAGAAGCAGGCTCCATGCACCGGGAGCCTGACATGGGATTCGATCCCGGGTCTCCAGGATCGCGCCCCGGGCCAAAGGCAGGCGCTAAACCGCTGCGCCACCCAGGGATCCCTCCTTAGGATTTTCTATCATAAAATCCTGTTGTCTGCAAATAGAGATCATTTTACTATTTCCTTTCCAGGATTCTTTTTCTTTCTTTTCTTTTCTTCTTTCTCTCTCTCTCTCTCTCTCTCTCTCTCTCTCTCTCTCTCTATTTTAAGAGAGAGAGTGAGTGTACACAAACGGGGAGGGGCAGAGGGAGAGAGAGAGAGAGAATCCCAAGTGAGCTCCACGACCCTGAGATCATGACCCAACCCAAAATCAAGAGTCAGAAGCCCAAACCAGTGAGCCACCAAGGCGCCCCTAGGGGATTCCTTGCATTCTCCTTATATGGGCAGAGAAACTGAGACCCAAAAACATGAAAGGGCTTTCACAAAAATATTATGAAATTATAAGGGAACATGACATAAAAAAACAATCTTCCACCTCTGAGTTTCTTCTTTTCTGGAAAATCCACTTCCTCACTTTTAATTATGGAGCACTAAAGTCACCTTAACAATAATAGAACTATTTTAAATGCTCTGTGTACATTGGAGCTTTTTTTTTTTTTTTGAGAATGCCTATGAAACCAATTGACCTTTAACCTTATTTTTTGGTGGTGCTTTAAATGAGTGTTCATTTCAGTGGTTTTAATTGAAGGATGTGCTTTAATAAATGAGTGGAAAATTTAGGTGGTAAACAAGGGTATAGGTTTGAGCAAAGAGCCACGTGACTGAAGCAATACTGCCACCTGTTTGCAGTACACTCTCAGTTCAAATTCTGACTTTTTGAGTAATAGATTTTTAAATTTCTAAAATGCTTTCAATTAATATATTGACTAAGTAAATATATTCACATGGGTCTGAATTCTAAAGGTGCCAAAGAACGTTCAATGACAACTTCTTGGTCATTGAACCTACCCCTGGTTCCCTCCTACCTCAGTGTCCCTCCCTAGGAGCAACCAGTTAAAAACAGTTTATTGTGTATCATTTGGGAGATAGTGTATACGTACACAAATACACACATAAGTGCAGTAGGCAGAATGATGTCCACACCCTGATCCCTGGAACCTGCGAATATGCTACTTTCCACGAAAAGGAGGATTCTGCTGATGTGATTAAAGTTATAGACTTGGAGATGGCCAGAGAGCATGGATTACCCAGTGGGCTCAGTCTAATTATTGAAAGCAGAGAACTTTCCCCAGCTGTGGTCAGAGAGGTGTGATGATGGAACAAGAGAAAGAGAGATGCGATGTGAGAAGCATTTCACCCGCTTTTGCTGGCTCTGAAGATGGAGGAAGGGGTTCAACCAGCCAAAGAATGTGAGTGGCCTCTAAAATGTGGACAGGGCAAGAAGACAGCGTCCCCTGAACCCCCTAGAAAGGAACACAGTCCTGCCAACACCTTGATTTTAATCAAGCTCACTTGATGTACAGACCCATGAGACCATAAATTTGTGTTCTAAGCTTGTGGAATTTGTTATAGCAGCAATAGAAAATGAACATAATAACCTTTCCCCCCCATTTTCCATATACTCTTATTTTTCAACCAGCTCTTTTTTTCCATTGAATGCATCTTGGATATAGTTGCATGACTCCTTTAAAGGAGGCTATATAACATTCGGTTGTATGGTTGTGCCATACACATTTATGTACCCAGTCCGCTACGAACGCTCACTTAGACTCTCATTTCCTGTCTTTTGTTCTTACAAACAGCACTGCATCAAATAACCTCATAAATGCACTAGATGTATTTTCTTTGCTAGATATTGTCAGATTGCCCCCCATGCAGGTTGTAAATTGGAGCAGTCTCCACGCAAGGCAGTGCATGGAAGCATGAAAGTACTTGTCTCTCTCACCGTCACCCACACCATTGCACACTTCCTTTAATGTTGACTCTGTACACGAAGCTATGAACGGAGACCAAGTCCCCAGTGAAAGAATGATATCAATCTTCTGAATCCTGATCACTTGCTAAAAGCCTTTGCGACCAACTCCCTGTCCGGGGTCTTATGATGAGAATCAACCAACTCTGGAGTCCCAGTTCCCCAGAGTGACCATATCTGGCTTTGCACACAATTCAAAGATGCCTCATAGAATCACAAAATATTTGAGATGGAACCTTACATCATCTGGACCTCTCCCTCTCCTTTACAGAGCCTAAAATTTCACATAGATTTTGGCTGGAGGGCCCACTGACATCACATCTAAATAAAGGTCACTTAGGAATAAAATGTGGCATTCGACCAATGCCTGCAAATCCGACTCACTTACTCTCATTTGAATCAATATCTTGTTCAGTTGCTGTCGGGAACAGTGCAGCCCTTTTTGCGTGGTTTCCCCAGGAAAGGGCTCTGCTCTAAAAGACGACAATAGGGAAGAGTTAGCAGGTCCCCAGAGAGCCACAGGGTTTTCTCTGCTTATTGTTATCTCTGCAGTATCTTGGACGATGGTACGAAATTGAGAAGATCCCAGTGAGCTTTGAGAAGGGAAGTTGCATCCAAGCCAACTATTCGCTAATGGAAAACGGAAACATCAAAGTGATAAACCAGGAGTTGAGGTGAGTGGCTGCACGTCCCGGAGCCAGCCTGCAGAGAGCTGTCCCCAGGTGACTGGGTGTCCTTGCGGCCTAGCTCAGCGGGGAGGCAGATGTGGCTGCGTCTGCACTGACTGCTCGCAGCAGGTCCTGAGATGAAGGCTTTTGGCAGGCAGGATGGTGGGGACTAGAGGCCACTCGCTTATTTGCAAGACCTCTTGCTGGGCATCTTACTGTATTGTGTACTTACTGTATTGTGTGTTCCCGGCGAGCACTTACACTTATTCTGGGCCTGTTGTGTGTGTGCTCCTGTAAAAGGTAGTGGGGACTCAAAGGGAATCCAAACTGCAGGGTTCCTGCTCTCCTTGCAAAACAGACACACGGGTAGCAAAGGGCAAGTGAGACTTTGATCTGATCTGATCTCCAAACCAAGAGACAAGCTCTTTCTACCTCATCTACTGACAGAGGGCATCCAGCTCGGCTTGAACCCTCCCAGGAACTGGTTGCTCATGGCAATTCATTCCATCTCCAGACAGCCGTGAGGACTAGAAGACGCCTGTTCTCATTAAGCAAGAATCAAATACATAGCCACACTCTAGGGTTTGTGAACAGGACAGCCTTTAGAAGTATGCTTTTCTGTTTCCGAGAGCTTCTAACCGATTTCTATTTGATAGAAAAATTCATACTTTAGAAAGCAAACATAAACTTTAAAAATGCCCCAGGAAGAGCTCCTACCTACCTTCCATCAACAAAGATAGAAGCAGGGACGCCTGGGGCCTACGTGGTTAAGCACCTGCCTTCAGCCCAGGGAGTGACCCCGGGGTCCCGGGATCGAGTCCCAGGTTAGGCTCCCTGCAGAGAGCCTGCTTCTCCCTCTGCCTGGGTCTCTGCCTCTCTCTCTCTCTCTCTGGGTCTCTCATGAATAAATAAATAAAATCTTAAAAAAAAAGATAAGAGCAACAGTAAACAATAGTGGCAAATATTAAGCATTTCCTGCGTGCAAGGCGCTATTCTGTGAGTGTACGTGTATGTGCACGCGTGCACCTGGGTGGATGTGTATGTAAACGAGCATGCGCCTCCCGGCCCTGAGGCAGGTACTCTTAGCAAGGCTACTTTTCTAGATGAAGAAACAGAGGCACAGGGAGGGAAGGGAACTCGCCCGATGGCTGCACCGCTTATAAGCAACAAGGCTGACGTTCAAGCCCAGAGAGCAGGGGAACATGGAAGACAACAGATGCTGGGAGAGAGGGCTGGGACCAGGGGCCGTCCCTCCTGTCCCCTGCGGGATCTGGGAACTGTGTCGGCTCCAAGGAAACAGCACGGCGCATCCTGGAAGGCCCTGCAGTTCCGGGAGGCTTTGAGGGCCGTCCTGGTCCCCACCAGGCTTCCTGTGCCGGACCCGGGGAGGCCCCTGGCCCTGCAGGAATCCCAGGAGCGAAGTCGCATCTTAGCGGCCGGGAGAGAGAGAAACCGGCTCATCTCAGAGCCCCGGCAGGGCGACCAGGCCCCGGTGCAGGCGCATCGAGGCTGCGCCCCAGGAGTTGTCCCAATCTGCGACGAGGGTCAGACACGGCCCTGATCGGCCGCTTCCTGACGCTGGGCCCATCCCTGGTCAGGGAGTCAGGGCGATGAGACCTGTGTCCCCCTGTAAGCCGGCAACCCCCGGGGGGCCCTCCTTCGCGGCCTTGGGGAGCCTGGGCCGGGCGACACGCGGCGTTGGCTGCAGGTAACCCTGAGGAAGCACAACCCGTCTGTCACCCGCTCCACACACAGACGCGTTTTCTCCATGAACCGATGCTGAGTTTATTAGGATCAGAGATGGCGCCTTGGAACTGTTCCGGGCGAAACAGCCGACGAGGGAGGGCGTCCGTGGGGACAGCTGCCGCCGGGCTCGTGGGCGGCCCAGCGCGGCCTGCGTGTCCCCCTCGGGCCTGGCCTGCAGCAGCGCCTCCCCTTGCCCACCCTTCCCTGTGGCCTCCTCTGCCCCGCCTCGGGCTGCCCTCGAGGGACGGACAGGCGGCCGACAGCCTCCTAGGAAGGGCCCCGACAGGCGGCCCCACACCCCCCACACCCTGTCAGCCTCCTAGGAAGGCCCCCGAGCCCCGGGAGCGCCCTCCTCGCCCACCTCGGGTGTAGCCCGGGCCTTCGCCCTCTGGCCCAGGCCCAGGGGTCCAGGGCGCTCCCCCGAAGTGGAGCCAGCTCCCTGCAAAAGGGCACAAGTGCCTCATGCGACCCAGGGCCACCAGTCCTAGACCCCTAGACAGAAATGGCCCTGCCAACGCGAGTGTCAGGCGGCACCGGAGGACGTGCACTTCTCCCCATTCGGTGCCTCTGAGCATCACAAGTGCCTCCCCACTGCCCGCCTCCCCGGCCTGCGGCCTGCAGCAGGTGGCCCGCACTCAGGCAGGGGCTGCGTGGGCCGGATAGGGGCCTCGGAGCTCGGCGAACGCTGGCCTCTATGGGACACACGGAGTCCTGTGACGTCACTGACACCCCAGGAGCAGGGCGAGCTTGCCGACCCCCAGTCTCTCAGTAATCACATCAGACCTTGTTTTCTCCTTTGGCTCCGTCTCATTTTTCAAGAGGCAAATCTTCTCAGTGCTTTGGGTTCTTCTGTTGGTTTCCCCTTGTCTTTCACTCCCTCCTTCTGGAGACTGAGAGCAGGAAGTGGTCTTGCAAAACTTAAAAAACTGTCCTAAAGCGCAGGGGCCTAATATACGATCCAGTCCTAGAGCATTTCAGTCGTCGCTTCCTCTCACTCCTAGGCCTTCTTCCTCTGCTTGAGTCTCAGAGACGGTGACAAAGGAAAGGGGACAGAACCTTCCCGACTAGAAACCACAGCCTTGAGCCCCTGGTCCTTGGTGTCACAGATCTTGCCTTTCATCAATTTGTGGCTTCCAATGAGTTAAGGTTCTTTGTTTGGTTTGTTTGAACTCATTGCAGAGCTGATGGCACCGTGAATCAAATCGAAGGCGAAGCCACCCAGGGCAACCTTACGGAGCCTGCCAAGCTGGGAGTTAAGTTTTTCTGGTGTAAGTATTCACTTCTCTCAGGAGGTTTCAGGGACAGGAGATATGCAAACTGAAGGCTGCAGCTCTGGGCTGGAGTACTCCTGTCACATCTGAGTGACTTAATACATAATTATTTGTCGAGCACCTACTACATGCCAAGCTCGATGCTGAGCACGGGAGATGTGCTGATCAACAAGACAGAGCTGGCTCCTGTCCCAGGGGGGCTTACACCCCAGTGTGGATACGGACAAGTGCCCCCGCAATTTAGTATAAAAACTACCATGTTTCTATAGAGGAAGCACAGATTGCTGCACATCGGGCCTGAGCAGTAGGAGACGCAGTCCTGTCTTGTTTCCCAGAGGAAAGGGAAGCCTGAAAAATTAGTAGTTAGTAGTGGTATTATTAGCATAACAAGTGATGGGTGCAAAAGCTTGGAAGCAGGAGATGACAAGAGTGAAGGTAAGTTTGAGCCCTGGCTCTGGCTCTGTTTGCCACTTTCTCGCCACACCGTGGGGTTCCCCAAGGGATATCCAGTCACAGGCATTTGCCCTCTGAGCCTTGGTCTAACTGAGGAATGAACACAGGCAACAGAGGAAGCACCAAACACCGGCTTTCCTGTTGATGTAGACACACTGAAGAAGCCAGCTCAGAAACGTGAGACTTCCTAATGCTGGGAGTGCTTGAGGGTCCTTCTCCCCACCAAGTGGCGGACACTGAAGTCACAGCTGCAGAGGAATCACCACCTCCTACCCCCCAGCAAGACCCCGGAGTGGAGAGGAGGAGAAGCTCTTATTTGATAGACCAAAATAGGAATGCTGGGAGATGAAAATAGTTCTTCCCACACACGTGACCATGGGCAACCAACTTCACTTCTGCGCCCAGTGTTGCAAAGATAAATGGCATGGCATGTGCCCCATGAACCGTGGGGGGGCATTATACGTGTCAGTTTCTCTTGTTTATTCTTATAAATAAGAAAGTCAAAGTGCAGAAAAGCTAGATGATGTAGGCAAGTCACTGGAGACTTGGGACTAAAATGTAGGACTTTAAACTCTCATAAGGGATGGGGATGGGAGTGGAGGCCAAATATTACATGTACAACCTTCCAAAGGAAGGCTGCCACAGGAGCTAGAAGAGGCAGGAGCTGCCGGCAGGGCAAGCAGAGGAGGAAGAGATTTATTTCAGTGGAAGGGACCAGACATTTGCATTGGGTCTTCCAGGATGTGTGAGACTTACAGGAAAGGCTGCCCTGAGTGCAAGAAAGGCATAAGGAAAGGCCCCGAGAGAGGAGCCGGAAGATGGGGGCAGGTACATGGAATGTGAGACAAGACTGGGCCGAGCCTCAAAAGCCATGTTAATGGGCTGAAGAGCCTTCCAGAAGCAGTAGGAGGCTGTTGGGGTTTTCTAATACAGAGACATAGAAGGTTCCTTCGCTAAGAGGAAATGTCTGGGTAAATGTATCTTGAGAGCTAGACCCTGTGGGAGGAAGACCGCATGTGAGTGCCTGGCTGTGTGCAGGTGGGGCATGATGCCCTCACCAGAGGAGGTGGGAGGACATACGACACGACGCAGGGCCGCGGAGCTCAGTCCAGCTGGGAACACACAGTGGAAATCCACAGGTAGCAGACCCTCGTGGGTGAGCCCGGCAGGCAGGCAGCAACAGTGCTAGAAAGGGAAGTCAGAAACAGGGCTCGGTACGGGCCCTACAGCCTCGTACAGGCTTCTGTCCACATGCCCTCTGAGTGTCCTTCTGTTTAAATATTTATGGACAGGTAGAAGTGAGAGCTAGGAGGGGCCGTGTTGGGTGGGCATCTGGACTAGGCCTCTGGTGTTATCCTGACAACCAGTTGGATTCTTGACACCCAGCCAAGCTCTAACCTCTTACACATCGTCTCCTTTGTCTGGCTTCTCATGGCCATTCACAAGTGTTGAGATCTGGTCTGGCTGGGCAATCAGAGGGATTATTTTTGAGTGGAGGCGGTGGGATGCTTGAAACCCAGGAAAGCATACCTCACATAACTGCATATGTGTCCAAATCTTTGGTTCGTATGAGGTCAGCACGCATTTCTTTCTCCCATTTGGCTCCATCAAGTTGGGCTATGAGTTTCCCTTACTGTGGACCTTGGCCACGGAGGTAGTAAGTTCACAGAGGATAGTTTCTGGATTCAGATGGAGAAGGTAAATCCTCCCTCTCTTTCCTTAAGGACCCTTTAAGGCTGGGCTTTCGATACTATTCAGATGTCAATCAATGCATCTTTGTAGGCCCTTTGTGAGGAAGAGTAAACCTATTACCATCTGATTGACCATATTCTTAAGAACAGGGGAACTTTTGAAGGTCACACAGGAAAGCAAACAAAGGGACATTAGCCCTTAATTCCTTCCCCAGGCAGATTCTAGAGGAAGCTGGGAAGTACTGAGTGGAAAGTCTGGGGCCTCTGACCTCGTGTTCTTGACTTTACTTAGCTAAGTGGCATCTCCACTGGTACTCGTGCTAAGAGCCCGGCCTCCTACAGACGGACCTGTTACCAAGGAGGGAGGAAGGATCTAGAATGATGGCTCTGAGCTCTGGCTGCACATGGGAATCACGGGGGAGCCTTCAGGAGTACCAACCACCTCCACATCAGAATCTGGGGAGGCCTGGAGGGAGGTGGCCGAGGATTTTTCAAAGCTCCCATAGGATTCCCACATGAAGCCAGATTTAAGAGCCACTAATAAAGAAGAACCAGGACCCTGGCTTCCAGAGTCCTGGAGAGGAAGGTTCCTCTTGCCCTGGTCCTTCTTAATGCTTAATGTCCCTCCTCTGGTTCTCAGTGATGCCATCAGCTCCATACTGGGTCCTGGCCACCGACTACGAGAACTACGCCCTCGTGTACTCCTGCACCACAATCGTCTGGCTTTTTCACATGGATCATGTTTGGATCTTGGGAAGAAACCCTTATCTGCCTCCAGAAACAGTGACCTATCTGAAAGATATCCTGACCTCTAATGACATTGACATCGAGAAAATGACTATCACAGATCAGGTGAACTGCCCCGAGTCGCTGTGAGAGGCTCGAGGGGGAACCCGCGTTCACTCCACGTTACTTCTTTTGCTTTGCTTCCCCCCCTCCACCCCCCATAAAGACAGACCAACCAAGGCAAACCGTTGCAAACACCGAAGGGAAATTGGGCAGCAGAAGCCCATGGAGAGAGAGTCAAGGAAAGTTGGCCCAAACACTTAGCCATGCACCACCCTGTTACCCTGCCCATCTAATAATAAACTTGTTGCTGACCTGCTGTGCTCACAGTAGATTCTGAATTGATTATTGTGGGGTTTTAATTATAAGCTTATGTTTGGAGATCCTTGAACATTTCTGTTGAAAGAAACCAAGCGGCAGCTCAGTTGGAAGGTAGCAATTCTGTTTCTGGAAGGGGAAAGCTGATGGCAAAGGCCTCTTGTGGGTGGCCAATCCAGGTGTCCCCGTCCTGCAGTGGGCACTCCTTTAGGCGGAATCATTTGGGTTTTTTGAAAACACTGTAAAAGGTACTAACTATAGTCACCTTCATGGTCTTTGATGTTACCGGACAGCTGTCACAACTTATTTTGTCCCATGAGATAAGAGATAGGCAGGTAACACTCTTGGGGATGACAGTATTTGAGAAGAGGAGCCAAGTACCCTTTGGTCGGTGGGCAGCATGACAAAGCACAGGACATAAAGGCAGGCAGAGCTGGGGAGAGAGTCTTCTCGTCGTTCAGGACCTACCTCCTTCTTACTGCCTTTTTGCCTGGTAGTTTTCAGACTTTGGGAATGTCAAACCGGAAGCTACAATTTGAGAGATCATATTTATTCAGTAAAAGGAAAATTGTACATTTTAAGATGCTTGGGTTTTTTTGTGACCTTTAATATAGAACATCCAAGAGTCTGAAGAGCTCAAGGAAATTCATACCTTAGCTCAATATTCATGCTCAAAAGCAAAAATCTAGGGGCGCCTGGGTGGCTCAGTGGTTGAGCAACTGCCTTCGGCCCAGGGCTGGATCCTGGAGTCCTGGGATCGAGTCCTGCATGGGGTCCCCTGAGTGGAGCCTGCTTCTCCCTCTGCCTGTGTCTCTGCCTCTCTCTGTGTGTGTCTTTCATGAGTAAATAAATAAAATCTTAAAAAAAAAATATTTTGGGAATCCAGAGGGAAGCATGAGGGCACCAAGTAGCACAAGGAAACATGAGGAAAAGAACAAAAATTCCAGAAGGGAGAGGAAAAGAAAGGCAGAGGGAGAAACAGCAAAATACACAGAGACAGTAGTGGAGAAAAGATCCCCAGTGACCTGTGGTCGGTTGGGAGTCATCAACGCCTCACCAATCTGGTTTCGGCAACCTCTCATTGCCCCCCAGTGTTTTTCCTAGAGGGTTTGAAGAAAATCCCAGATATCACATCCTCTTATTTTGCCCATAATTGCCCATGTACAAATCTCTAGCAAATACAGGTACTTTTTAAACAAAAAACATAAGGTTACGTGTTATATCCTAAAGGTGCTCAGAGAATGCAATTTCAATGTGATTGAAAGATTGATATAATGCAGATGACAGGGAAGAAGCATGACAGAAGGGTTCATCATCGGGGCCCCTGGCTGGCTCAGTGGTTCACCGGCTGCCTTCGGCTCAGGACGTGACCCCGGGGCCCCAGGGCCCCGGGATCGAGTCCCGTATCGGGCTCCCCACATGGAGTCTGCTTCTCCCTCCCTCTGCCTCTCTCTCTCTCTCTCTCTCTCTCTCTCTCTCTCTGTGTCTTCCACGAATAAATAAAATCTTTAAAAAAATAGGTTCACCATAGTTTTACTTGTAGCAGCCCCCAAACCAAAAGGAGCTAAACCGAAGCTGCCACGAGCAGCCGAGGAACGGGATCGTGAATGGTGGAGCTTGATGCAGTACGTTCACTACAGTCCGTAGTTATGAAGACAGAGCAGCCCCAAGAGAGCTGGCGCCTGCCCACCCAGCCACCCTGCCTGGGGGGGGGGGCAAGGTCCCTGCACACGGCCTTGCTGCCTGCAGAGCTGGTAGCTGGGGCACGTGCCTCCCTTGCCCCGCTGGATTGCACCAAGGTGTGTCCACCTGAGCCAGCGACAGCCCATCCACGGTGGCTGAACAGCCACCTCTGACTCTTGTGGCCTAACTGGACAGAAAAGATAAATGAGGCCAATTGAATCAGGATTTGACTTTAAGAGATTGGGAGAGAACGACTGAAAACTCCGGAATTGCAAGGTCATGCGGTTTGGGGCGCTCATCGTTGCTGATGCACAAATGATGCTTATGAGAGTGTGGAACAGAAATAGGGAGACCAGCAGAGACCCCCCCCCCACCTGCCCTCCAGGCCCAGGGCCCCTAACAGAGCAGCTCCAGTAGCTGAGGGCGGGCCACGCCCAGGATCCCATTCCTGTGGAGCTTAGCTGTCTTAAATTCCTCTCCTGGGATTCGTGCAAGATTAGCCACATTCACATCTTTTTTTTTTTTTTTTTCAGGTAATTTAACGTGACTGAGTGAATGTTCCTTGCAACCAAAATAGCACTAAGACAAAAGTGTTCACATTATGATGTTGAGTGAAAAAAAAAAGAACGAAGCATTGTCTCTGTGTTATAGTTATGTGAAATGAAGGCATAAAATCAAGGACTAAAAGTAACAGAGAAAATGAAAGCGATTAACGTTGTTAGAATGCTAGAATTCCGAGGTGACCTTCCTCCTTTGTAATTTTTGCTTTCGGTGTTTGTAGCAAAGGCCCTACAGTTCAACCTGCCCTCTGGCAAGGCTAGCACCGAACATGAAATAGGCCTTTTCTTCTAGTAACTACTTCAGACTTCTAGACCCTTCTGGACTGTTCTCCTATCCCACCATAATCCTAATACATTGGAGGGGATGGTTTGTTGTGTGAATATAGGATGTGGTACTAAAGCAATCCTTATTTACTACAACAAGGTCCTCTGTACACTCCTAGGAGACATGAAGGAGGGTATCAAGTAATTAGAAAGTTTGTATTTGCACAGTTGTCTAAACATTATGTAATTTTAAAAAATATTTTGTTTATTCATGAGGGACACAGAGAGAGGCAGAGACACAGGCAGAGGGAGAAGCAGGCTTCCTGCGGGGAACCCGATGCGGGACTCGATCCCAGGACCTGAGGATCAGGCCCTGGGCCTAAAGCAGGTACTCAACCGCTAAGCCACCCAGGGGTCCCTAAACATTATGCAATTTTATAAAAGATTCCCCCCAAAAGCAATCACTTTTACCTTGATAATTATGAAATACTATTAAAATTTTTAAATGTTTGGGGGATTTTGTTTGTTTCAAGATTTATTTATTTTCCAAAAAAAAAAAAAAAAGATTTATTTATTTTATTTTAGAGAGAGAGTGCATGGCAGCAGGGAGTGAGGTGGAGAGGGAGAGGGAGAGAGAATCCCATAGCAGACTCCCCACTGAATGCAGAGCCCATCATGGGCCCCAACCTCACAACCCTGAGATCATGACCTGTGCCAAAATCAAGAGTCAGATGCTTCACTGACTGAACCACCCAGGTGCCCCATGTTTTGTTTTGTTTTTTAAGTAGGCTCCACACCCAGCATGGAGCTCAACACAGGGCTCGAACTCATGATCCTGAGATCAAGAATCAGACACTTAACTGACTGAGCCAGCCAGACACCCCTAAATATTTGTTAAGTATGGTCAACTTTTAAAAATCTTTTTATTTAAATTCAATTAATTAACACATAGTATATTATTAGTTTCAGAGGTAGAACTTACTGATTCATCGGTTGCATATAACACCCGGTGCTCATCAATCACATCCCATGCCCTCCTCAATGCCCACCACCTGGTTACCCGATCCCCCACCTCCTTGCCTCCAGCGACCCTCAGTTTGTTTCCTAGAGTTAAGAGTCTCTTATGATTTATCTCCCTCTCTGATTTCAACTTTTTTTTTTTTTAAGATTCTGTTTATTTATTCATGAGAGATACAGAGAGGCAGAGACCCAGGCAGAGGGAGAAGCCAGTTCCATGCAGGGAGCCCGATGCGGGACTCGATCCTGCATCTCCAGGATCACGCCCTGAGCCAAAGGGAGACGCTCAACCACTGAGCCACCCAGGCGTCCCTCAACTTATTTTATTTTTCCCTCTCTTCCCCTATGATCCTCTGTTTTGTTTCTTAAATTCCATATATGAGTGAGATCACATAATTGTCTTTCTCTGACCGACTTATAATTCCCTCTTAGCATAATACCCTCTAGTTCCATCCACATCATTGCAAATGGTAAGATTTATTTTTTTGATGGCTGAGTAATATTCCAGTATCATCTTCTTTATCCATTCATCTGTCGAGGGACATCCGGGCTCTTTCCATAGTTTGGCTATTGTGGACACTGCTGTTATGAACATTGGGGTACAGGTGCCCCTTCAGACCGCTATGTTTGTATCCTTTGGGTAAATAAGATAAGGTCAACTTTTATGCTAAAATCAGTATTTTGACTAAATACCAAATATGAAATTGAAATGGCCTCACCAAGAATGATCTAACATTTTTTAGCAAAATAAGTGATCTGAAGGCACTGGCAGTGCCGAGGCGGCGTGGCGGCAAGCGCCCTGGGATGGGGGAGCGCTGCTCCGGGCCCAGGTGAGTTAGCAGCTCACTCCAGCGGCCTCTTCCCCGGGCAGCCCCGTCCCCTCGCCTGTATGCTCACTTCTGCTGCAGACTGTGGGTGCTGCTGCTTGCATGCTGCTGGCTGACCCCTCAGCCCTCCCGGGGGCCCTCCCAGCCCGGTTTCCCCCCCTTCTACCCTCGCTTATTCTCAGGCACCCAGTCTCCCAGTCTCAACCAAGGCACGCCACAATGACCTAAGAGAATACATCCATTTTGGGGAGACATCTTGGAATAGGGAGATGGTGGGCAAAAGTGGCCAAAGATTACAAGAAGTCCCCTCCAATTCAGATTTGCTTTCAGGCTTCAAATGGGACCTGCTGCTTTGTCAAACAGAACTGAGTCCTTAGCGCTCCCTGTGTTTCCCACACCTACACCTTTGGCACACATCATTCCCCTTACTGAAATCTAGGGCTGTCAAAATCCAGCCCACCTAGTGTACGTTGGTACTTTTGCAGAGCGATTTGGCAGAGTCTAGCAAAATTGAGGATGATATAAGCTCTGACCTAGTAATTCTACTCTGGCAAATATTCTAGAAACACCCCACACACGAGCACAAGATGTGTGCAAAAAATCTTCAATGCATCACTGTCCGAAAGACTAAAATAAAACAACCTAAATAAATATCCATCGGCA